ATTTTTGACAACGTGACTCGGTAAATTAACAAACATTATTACAAATTTTTTATTTTTTCATGTTAATATATCTTTTTAATTTTTTACCTTTTCTCCATTTGTTTATATTCAATTCTCTGCTAAATTAAGTAGAAAATGAACTAACTAAATAAGGGTATTTTAGTAATTTAATCATTACATTTAACAGTGATAATCACTTACATTTGAAAAGATAAAAGGGGTGCAGTGTGATTTCAATAGTATTCAGGGGGTTTACTGTAATTTAATTATTAAAAAATTGGAGACAGACAAAAACATGAAAAATAAAAAGGAAATCTATTAGAAAATCATAGATTAATAAATAAAAATTTGTTCTCTATTTTCATTTCCATGTTGCTCATTCTAAACAATGTATTTAAAAAATTATCTTTTCTATTTTTAATTAAAAAAATAGAAAAGATAATTATTTAAATTAGATATACCTTTCGGAATTGATTTTTGACAACGTGACTCGGTAAATTAACAACATTATTACAAATTTAGATTTGTAAACTTAGAATTTATTTAGAAAAAGATATTGACAATTTAAATTCATTTTATTCATAAACTCCCTAATATAAAAATACATATTCAGAATAAATTATAGATTGATAAGGGTGGGTGCATAATATTTTTTATAAATTAATAACCAAAAAATGAGGTACGGACAAAGAAGCTGCTACGGCGTAAAAAATGATAATAGAAATATACAAATGCTCTACCAAACAAATCAAACCATATATGTATATTACATATGAACCAATAAATATAAAACAAATCTGTGATTAAATAATGTTTTTAACATAAACATGTACATAATCACTTTTATATCATTCATCTCTGGAACTAACTAAAAAAAAAGAATAAAAAATCCTTCATCACACTCCAACAAATAATCCCAAATAATTCCACATATATATATGTATGTTTGTTTTAAGAATCGGAGATCTAGTGCTTCATGAGCGTGAGAAGAGACAAAACAATCGAAGGGAAGACGATAGCTGCAGATATCGGCAATGAGTAAGTAAATCCAGCGTCCATTGACGGTGACGGTGACAGTGACGGTGCTGGAGCCATTTCGAAGTCTTGCGATGATCCAATAACAGAGAAGATAGTAATGACCAAGAAAACTGTCAAAGCCTTGAATGAGCTCAATTAGGCCATTGTAGATCAGAGAGAGAGAGGGAGAGAGAGTGTTTCTCTATGGAGATTGAATTTGAAACAGAAGAGATAGTAGCAGTAGTGATGCTTGTAATAGGATAGAATATAGTGAGGCAAGAGTGAGATATATATAGGAGAGGGATTTTCAAAGTAGGGTTTAGATTTTTGAAAAGACTCAAATTAAACGATGAGTGGAGTTTTTTTTTTTATTTGGAAAAAAAAAAATTTAAAATTAAGATTTGAATATCGAAGTTAGTAGGATTTAGATTTTCAAAATAGGGTTTAGGTTTTCAAAAAGGCTCAAATTAAATGATGGATGGAGGTTTGTTTTTTTAAAAAAAAAAAAATCAAAAAATCAGAAAATTAGGATTGACATATTGGAGCTCTCACAGGCCTTAGAGGTTAAAAACCCCATTTTGCTTAATATATAGTATAGATACTAGCCTATCACCCATGCTATGCACGGAATAATTTTAGATATTTATATTTGTTTTAGATTTTTTTTAATATATAAATTATGTTTTTTAAGATTTTTTATAAAAATAATTTAACAATCTTATCACTAACCATAGTGTATGTGAGAAGTTAAAAAGGGTACTGCAGTAATTATACATGGATTGTATCTATAATTATTTTTATGAGGTGATTTTAAATGCTGATCAGGAGTTTTTGACCAAATCAATAAATGCAGGCATGTGGAAAGACATGTGGATTGAAAAAATTTAATAAATGCTGATCAGAGAATTTTGACCAAATTAATAAATGCTGAGTTTTTCTTTTAATAAAAAATTTAAAAAATTCAGATTGGGATATTGAAGCTCCCACAGGCCTTGGGGTTTAAAAACTCCATTTTTCTTAATATATAGTACTAACATATCACCCGTGCTATGCACGAATTGTGTTTACAATTATCTATATATGTGAATTGCGATTTTTAAATATTTTTTTTTTAAATGCCTTCTTTTTTTTCCTTTTTTGTATTATATTAAAGTTTAATATTTTGATAATAATCATATGTGTTAGACTTTTCAAGGAATTAAATATCTTTTTTTTATTATATTATATTAAAATTTAATATTTTGCTAATAATCATATGTGTTGGACTTTTCAAGAATTTTTTTTATGCTTGTTCTTAATGCATTAAAGTGTTATTATGAGGGATAATAATCATATGTGTTGGGACTTTTCAAGAAATTCATATGTGTTGGATTTCAAAGAATTTTTTTTATGTTTGTTTTTAATACATTAAAGTGTTATTATGAGGGTAGGACTTGGGAGTTGGGAGAAATTAATAAATGCTAAGTTTTTTTTTTTTTTAAAATAAAAAAATCAGAAAAATTAGATTGGGAGATTGGATCTCCCACAAGACTTGGGATTAAAAACTCCCTTTTACTTAATATATAGTATATAGATATATATACATATATAGATTTAACATAAAACTAAAAAATCTATCTTATCCTTTTATAATTAAAATAAGAATAATAGTATATGTATCAATTAATATACACATTAATATATTAAAAGATGATATGTCATTATTTATATGATTTTAAATATTTATAACTTATATAATAAATATGGTCAATAATAATATCATAATATTAATTAATACACTAATATATATACACTAATTAATACATATAACACTACTACTGTTAAAATAACATCAATCTAATACAAACTCACAAGCACTTCAAGATGTTCGCATTTTCACTAACACCATAATGTTCCACACATGCAAAACACGCAGCGCACTCTTTTTCCACTCTCTCCGTCTCTGTCTTCCCACTCTCCCTCATCTTTATCTCTCCACCAAAGACTTCCCATCTTCCGCATGACCATCTTACCACCATGAAACCAAATCATCTAAGGTCAGCCGACCATTCACTCACACATATTCGATCTGCTCTCTATTCTCCTCATCATTTCTACACACACACACATACATATATAATCTCATATGTATAGTATATAGAGGAAATATATATCGTATATACTATATTTCACATTTTTGTTATTTTGTTTTGAAGGTGGTTGAGTTGAGACCGCGGTACGTTGAAGTCATTCCTATCCTATGAGATTTCTAAATCTTCCGGCTGCCGGAATGTTCAAAAAAATCAGAATTCTCCGGTGAAATTATCTGTCGTTTTTGATTTGGTGTTTTGACATAAATTTCAATCTGAAGGAGGTTTCCGGCGGATCGTAATGGCGGCTGCGTTGGCCGGAGATGATCTGGCGAGATTGGGGAGCAGCCGGAGGAGTTTGGGAGGGTCGGGAAGCCGGAGGAGTTTGGGGGGATCGGGAAGCCGGAGGAGTTGGGCGTCGGCGAGTTTGAGAGAGGTATGGCAAGCGCCGCCGGATGTATTCCGCCGGAGCGCTCGACAGGAGGACGACGAGGCGGAGCTGATGTGGGCGGCGATCGAGAGGCTCCCGACGTACGACCGAATGAGGAAAGGGATGCTATCCAAAGTACTCGATAACGGTAAAGTTGTGCGTGATGAAATAGATGTCACCAATCTCGGAATGCAAGATAAACAACTGTTGATGGAGAGTATACTCAAGGTTGTTGAAGATGATAACGAAAAGTTTCTTCAGAGACTCAGGGACAGGACAGATAGGTTAACTCTCTCTCTCTCTCTCTCTCTCTATATATATATATATATACATGTATATAGGAGTTATTGAATTGTGAGATTTTGGTTAAGAAAAATCTTGGTTTGATGTAGTTGAATTTTGTTATGATTGACACAACAGAGTGGGAATTGAGATTCCGAAGATCGAAGTGCGGTATGAAAATTTGTCAATTGAGGGAGATGTATATGTTGGGAGCAGAGCACTTCCTACTCTGTTTAATGCCACCTTAAACGCAATCGAGGTATGCTTTCCTTTTGGATGAGATTATCTCAATTTAAAAATCTGATTTTTTCTTTTTTTAATTTTTTTTGTGGTCCTCCTTCCACACCCGCAGATGTCTGGGTTCGACATTTTTAGAGGCTTGATTTTTCTCGGAAAATTGCCTGTGAGTAGTATGAATGGCTCTATGAGTATTATTGAATAGTTTTTCGTGTGTGGAATGAGGGTGTGTTTGATTAGGTGGAAAAAGAGGACTATTTATTGATGTGATTGTAATTTGAAAGAAATAGGTGGAAAAAGAAGACTATTTATTGATGTGATTGTAATTTGAAAGAAATGTTTAGGTGGAAAAAGAGGATTATTTATGGAAAATTATTCAATACTCTCGGAACACCACGTGTCCATACTCCAAATCAATCATCAATTAGTTAGCCCTATGTTGTCCCCCCATTTTCAACATAAATCGTGGGCCCTTGTGTCTCTCCACCAATCAAAACCTTGGACTATTTATTGATGTGATTGTAATTTGAAAGAAATGTTTTATTCAACGTTTTTTTGTTTTTTTAGTCTGTCGGACATAAAGTTCGGTCGGATTTCTTATCCCTATATGGGGGATTATACTATCCTAAGGGGGTATGAGATAATTTTTGTTGGACTATTTACTGTTGGGATTAGAATGTGAAATGATCATTTTGACCTTCTACTATTTAATTATGTATTATATTTAATAAAATTCAATAAAATTTAAATGTCTCAATATAAAAATAAAATAATTTTGTTTAACTTTTTATTGATATTTTATTTATTTAATTTTTTAAAATAATTTTTTATAGATATTTTATTTTAAAATTTTGTTTATATTTTATTTAATTTCATTATTTAAATTTTAATAAATGTTTTATTTAATTTCATTGTTTAATTATTATTATTTTTAAAAATAAATTTATTTAAAATTTTAATTAAAAAATAACATATATTTTTATTGATATTTTATTTATTTAATTTTAAAAAAATAATTTTATTTAATTGTGTAAAAAATAAAATAAAATAAAATTTTATTTAGTCTAACTAAAAATAATTAAAATATTAAAGATGTGTTTAATATTACTATTACTTAGTAAGCAATTGAAAAATGATAAAATATTTTTTTGTTCATTTATCTTATTTAATCCGTCCAATCAAACATTAAATTTACTAAAAATAATCTTTTCTAGACATCTAATTCTATGAAAAAAACAAACACAGGATATATATCCAATCTAATCAAATAATTTGAAGAATTTACAATTCTAAAATTTAAGTCTGATAAATTTTAATCTCTTTTATTCGGTCCGTCCAATCAAACACAAGTGGAGTGTAGACCTCACCTTGACTCGAGTGGGATTCCTGTGGAATGAGTGTAGGGCTCACTTTTACTCCAATGGTTGTGTAACAATAATGATTCATTCCATTAAAAATATCATCACTAATAGTACTAATACATTAAAAAAGTAAAAAAAAATAAATATAACTTCAAGATCAAAACATCACATCATTAATGACGAGACCCACTACCACCTAATTAGGGGAGCACTAATTAGTATTTCCAAGTTTTTTTCGTTGTGTAATATGACAATCAGTCGACTATACCAGGACCTAGACCTGTGGAAGCTATGATGGCCCTATGTAACTTCTTTTTATTCTCATTTAAAAAAAAAAATTAAAAATCTTAACTTGACCGTTATGTTAAGGTTTATGAGCAGATAATTCAATCATTTATTTTAGGATAAATTATAAATATATCATTTAAAATTTATTAAAAATATAGATTATCTCATATATTTTAAAAAATTATAAATACTCTTTTATAAATATTTTTAGTAAATAATTGAAAAAGAATAAAATATTTTTTTGTTTATTTATCCTATTCAATCCGTCCAACTAAATATTAGATTGACTAAAAATAATTCTTTCCAGACATCTAATCTCATGAAAAAATAAATACAGGCTATATATCTAATCCAATCAAATAATCCGAAAGATTTATAGTCCTAATATTTAAGTCTAATAAATTTTAATCTCTTTTATCCAATCCGTCCAATCAAACACATGATGAGTGTGGAGCTCACTTTGACTCGAGTGGGATTCTGTGGAATGAGTGTACAGCTCACTTTGACTCCAGTGGGCTTCCTTTATTTGGGTTGTGTTAAATATGACAATCAGTCGACTATACCAGGACCAAGAGCTGTGGAAGCTATGATGTTCCTGTGAAACTTCTTTTTGTTCTAATTTAAAAAAAAAAAAATTAAAAATCTGAACTTGACCCTTATGTTAAGGTTTACGAGCAGATAATTCAATCATTTATTTTAGGATAAATTATAGATATATCTTTTAAAATTTATTTAAAATATAGATTATCTCATATATTTTGAAAAATTATAAATACTCTTTTGTAAGAATTTTTATTAACAGAATTAAATGAAAAATAAAATTTCTAACTGCACTCTTATGTAATAATAAAATTACCATAATTATTAATTGAAATATATTTCTAACATTATTAAAAACTATTAATTGATTTGATGATTTATTGATAAAAGAGGCTATTTGCTATGAAATGAGAATCTTGAAGAGGGTGGAATGTAATGTTTAAAATTATATGGAACAATTCGTATTTTAAATAAATTTCAAGAGTATATTTGTAATTTAACCTTTATTTTATAAATGTTTTTGTACATATCATCTTTGAAAAAAATTAGATCTATCCAATAATTGTAATTTTTTTTTATTTTATTGCATTTGTTTAAAAAAAAAAATGAACGGTTTATTTTCGAAAAAATACTTATTCACATCTATAAAAAGAAAAAAAAAATACAAAAAACTTGTTTATTTTTTGGGAGACAAATGCGATTAAATGAAAATGTTACGATTATCGGATATACCTTATTTTTTCTATGAATGATACACACGAAAGACTTTACAAAATAAACGGTTTAAACCATCAAAATAGAACTCATGATGACCTCCTACAGACCCTAACATAATGGTTAAGTTCAAATTTTGAACTTAAAAAGAACTTGAATCCTTTTTTATTAAACGTTTGTGAGAATTAATTTTTTTTTTTCTCATTTGAATAATTATAAAATAGTTTGTGTTAATAAGAGAATAAGCAGTTGTACTTTGTATCAAGAGACTCAATTTTGTTGATATGATTTATTTATGAGTCATTTTAGAATACACATCTCTAAAAAGGTATGAACCATATGTAAGTTGTCATAACTATAATTCTTTTAAGTAATAATTAAAAATGACAATGAGTTATAATTAAACACGTATAATTAAAGACATTTCGATTATAATCAAGATAATAATCACTATAACTTATGACCAATAGCACAATAAGGTATAACTAATACCGCAATAAGTCACAATTATATCATAAATAACACCATAATAATTTATAATAAAAAATCACATATGTCAGAAGTATGAGATATGTAATATACAATTTACCATTATTATTTTGAAATGGACACTTGGGCTTGTTTTTATTTTATGTGTTTTACGTTATATTTTAAAAGCATAAAAAAAAAACTTGTTATACAATTTATTTTTGAAAACAACTCTTATGATTTTTCATTTTGGAAATTGCAAGAAGTTCTTTTTGGATTTTTAAAAATTATTTTCATAAAAAAGTAAAAACAATGGATATTTTTTAACTTCTTATTATTTTGTTTCTAAGCATAAGAATAAGAATAAGAATAACAAAAACGAAGAAAATGAAAACAAAAACTATGAAGGCCTTTAGAAATTTTTTATTATGATTTATTTTGGGTTAAATATACCAATAACCCTTAACTATTAGCCAATTTCAGTTTATCCTCTTAATTATGAATTTGTATATTTCCACCACCTCAACTATAAAAATGCAGAACTTCCACCCCTCTAGAAGGGGTCTTGGTGTAATTAACCACTTGTATTTCATTTTTCTTAAGAAATTTTGAATGGGTAAAATTTAAGCCATTCAGAAAAAATAAAAAATAAAAATGAATCAGTAAATTTACGTATCTTCATTTAGATTGAAGTAAACAAGAAAACGATATCACTAAATCTTTGCTTTAATTGTCAAGCAAAATTTATTACCTTATATATATATATATATTTATCAATTTCATGTTGTTTGATGCTCCATGAATAATGTTACTATAAAAAGAAGATTTTACATTTCCATAAGTTTTGTGCTTTACTTTGGTGACTTACTAACATTGTTTTTGCCTGTTGTGAACAATAGAGTCTTCTTGGGCTAATTCGGCTTGTCCCTTCTAAAAAGAGAAAAATTCAAATACTTAAAGATGTTAGTGGCATTGTGAAACCTTCAAGGTAAATTTTAGTGTTAAGTGTGTGTATTTTTTTATTTATTTATTTATTTTTCATGTTAGAGTAGGAGAAGTAATATTGCCTATGCAAAAATTTTCAAACGTTTACAAAATTGCGGAAGCAATATTTGCTGGCGTAAAATACGAGTTTCCTATGCATTTTGACATTGATAAGAAGGTAGCATGAAAAAGTATTTTGAATTCTGTTATTTTACAAACTTATATGGTGAAATTTGCCTTTCAATTTTAGTTTTCTTTTTAATAAATAATGCAAACTAATTTACCTTTTGGTTGTTTGTATTCCAAATATTACTGAAACCATTATTCCACACATATTTTTCGTTGTTTTTATTGATTACCACGATTAGTTGTTTTGTTGAAGTAGGTAATGTTAATCTATGTTCTATCACTCCTTTCATGTTTGTAATTACTGATTTCATCATTTTCAGGATGACACTGCTTTTGGGTCCACCAGGCGCGGGGAAAACAACATTATTGCTAGCACTTGCAGGGAAGCTTGATAAGGATCTAAGGGTGTGTTTCTTATTTTCGGTTAATAATTTTCTTTGTTAATAATTAGTGTGTTTGGATATTGATGACTTGGAGTTTTGAACAGGTATCTGGAAAAGTTACATATTGTGGTCATGAGTTGAATGAATTTGTTCCTCAAAGGACTTGTGCTTACATTAGTCAGCATGATCTTCACTATGGAGAGCTGACAGTAAGAGAGACATTGGATTTCTCAGGACGCTGTTTGGGGGTTGGCACAAGATATGAAATGCTCGTGGAGCTCTCTAGACGAGAGAAAGAAGCAGGAATTAAACCAGATCCTGATATTGATGCATTTATGAAGGCCACAGCAATGTCGGGCCAAGAAACCAGTTTGGTTACAGATTATGTTCTCAAGGTTCAATGATTAAATTTCAAGCTGTTACATTTATTTTTCTATTTTAGGAGTTCATTTTTAAAAAACAAAAAGCAAAAACTTACTATTAACAAACTTACTATTAATGAACTTATAACAGATACTCGGATTGGATATTTGTGTGGATATTATGGTTGGCAATGACATGAGAAGGGGCATATCTGGTGGACAAAAGAAACGTGTGACCACCGGTATGCTTTCAAATCTAAGAAGGGATATATTTATTATTCTTCTTGTTTTCATATGATTTCTAGAAATGGTTCAAGCATGATTTATTCTTCATTTGTAGAAGCAATGCCATTTGTCTTCAGTTTTAATGGCATTAGACATCTATTCAATTGATAGATTCCTAATAGTTTTTAGTTGCTGCAAATACTTTTCCACATCTTGTGTCGAAAATATCTATTGTCCACTTCAATTTTGCTACATGCTGGTGATTATGGTGACCTGTGTTATATGTGCTGCTATTTTCAAAATCAGTCTAGCTTCATTTCATCACAATCTTTTATTTGTTTTTCAATAGTTTTCATTGCTTGTTAGTTTGCTTTTGTGCTAATTCACCTGTCTAATACCTTTTTGGTTTAACTAAATTCAGGAGAGATGTTGGTTGGACCAGCAAAAGCTCTTTTTATGGATGAGATATCAACCGGGTTGGACAGTTCTACCACTTTTCAAATTATCAAGTTCATGAGGCAAATGGTTCATATAATGGATGTGACCATGATCATCTCTCTCTTGCAGCCAGCTCCCGAGACTTATAATCTATTCGATGACATCATATTACTTGCAGAAGGTCAAATTGTTTATCAAGGTCCACGTGAAGATATCCTCGAGTTCTTTGAAGTAATGGGTTTCAAATGTCCAGAAAGGAAAGGAGTTGCAGACTTTCTCCAAGAAGTAACTTCAAAGAAGGATCAAGAACAATATTGGTGCAAGAAGGACCAACCTTACATATATGTCTCAGTTTCCGAATTTGCTGAGGCCTTCAACTCATTCCATATTGGTCAACAACTAGCAGCAAATCTTAGTGTTCCTTACAATAAATCAAGAGCCCACCCTGCTGCATTGGTGACAGAAAAGTATGGTATCTCCAAAAGGGAACTCTTCAAGGCATGCTTTGACAGAGAGTGGCTACTAATGAAGCGTAACAATTTTGTATATGTGTTCAAGACTACCCAGATAACAATCATATCATTGATAGCCATGACTGTGTTCTTCCGGACAACAATGCCATCTGGCACCTTGGTAGATGGAGGAAAGTTTTTTGGAGCTCTTTTCTTTAGTCTTATGAATGTGATGTTTAATGGGATGGCAGAGCTTGCGATGACTGTTGTTGTGCTACCTGTCTTCTATAAACAAAGGGATTTTTTTTTCTATCCTCCATGGGCTTTTGGCTTGCCAATTTGGGTCCTTAGGATACCTATTTCATTCGTGGAATCAGGGATATGGGTCATTCTTACGTATTATACAATTGGTTTTGCTCCAGCTGCGAGCAGGTAAGAGTGGTTCACATGTTCTTGGCTCTTCCAGTGGTAGTGTTCTTGTCAATGTCATTATTCTGCATTAGAAATTTATTCTTCCCGCTCTGCATTTAGTGATTGCTGGTAACTAATTATTTCTTGTAATTAGAGTTTATTTCATTGACAAATCCTTCATCTCTTTCAGGTTTTTCCGACAGTTCCTGGCATTCTTCAGTGTACATCAAATGGCTTTGTCTCTGTTTCGTTTTATTGCTGCATTGGGGAGAACGCAGGTTGTTGCAAGCACTTTAGGCACCTTTACCTTGCTAATGGTTTTTGTGCTTGGAGGATTTATAGTTGCCAAAAGTAAGCTGTTGATATATACGTTCACTTTGAGCCTTTCTTGTAATTAGAATGAGCTTTAAATTAATTAATTGGCTACATCACATGTTGAATATTGCTTGACATTTGGTCAAAAGTCATGGATTTTTTTATGAGATTGCTTATGTTAGATGATCAGAACATTACAATAATTTATTTATATTTGTGATCGCAGATGACATTCAACCATTTATGATATGGGGTTATTATATTTCTCCAATGATGTATGGACAGAATGCAATAGTTATGAACGAATTTCTTGATAAAAGATGGAGTGCCGTAAGTTCTCTTTTATGGTTGGCTTGTGATCTTTACCTTTTTTATTTTTAGTTCAAATGTTGCTTTTATTTTCTGGTTTGTCATTGTAGTTCACGTTGTAGCCTCATAAAAAATTTTACATTTTTTTTTTTAATGCAGAACAACACAGACCCCCGAATTAATGCTCCTACAATTGGGAAAGCCCTTCTTACCACAAGAAGCTTCTATAAGGATGATTACATGTTTTGGGTTTGCATTGTAGCACTTATTGGGTTTTCTCTTCTCTTCAACATTTTGTTTATTGTAGCGTTGACTTTTTTGAATCGTAAGTCATCTCATCTAGTAATTTGGTTTGGGTTTTTTTACTAGAAAAATGGAAATTCTTTGTTGAAAGTAGAACTCTTGGATTGACAACCCTGTTTGTGGATTCTCTGTTTCAGCTCTAGGTGGTTCGAAAGTTGTAGTCTTAGATGAAGATAATGAAAATAAGAATAAGAAATCATCCTTTGGACAAATGACATCTGAAGGTTCGAGTCTGTACCTTTGCCTCTTGTTGATCTTTACTTGGTTACCTCTTCTTCCATTCCTTATACTGCTAATTAAGTTAACATTTAGGTTACTAGTTACTAATTGTACAAGCTTGGAGGAGTTAAAATCCATTTGTTTAAGTTGTTCAACGAGTCTCATGAGTCCATCTCTTTGATCATTTTTAAAGTTCATGGTGAGTAGAGTTGCATTGTGTGTGTAATGATGGAAATGAAGCTGGGATACCAAATGTCCTAGACTATGGAATGACATCTAATACATTCCAGTTGTGTCAAAAATGTTCTACTGGTCTGAATTTTGAAATCTTGTGAATGATTTACAGGTATTGATATGGCAGTGAGAAATGCTTCACAGGGTAGTTACTCAAATATTGGTGCCTCTGGTCATTCAACAAGAAAAGGAATGGTTTTGCCCTTCCAACCCCTTTCACTTGCATTTAGCCACATCAACTACTATGTAGATATGCCTGCTGTAAGTCAGTCATAATAAGAAGATTATTGTCATGTGCTTACATGAACACTTTTTTGTTTCTCTTTTTATAGTTTTTTTTTTTTATTATTCTTTTTCTTTTGTTCTTGATTTGAGAATCAAGGTATTTAGGTTAGTGAAACACCATTCTTTTCTAATCTGAGCAACTTAATATCTAGTGAATGACCTCACTTCTTTATTCTCTTGATTAAAAAACCCTATATTTTGCATACTTAAATAAACATATGGCACTTTTGTTTGTACATTGAGTAGCTTTAAAATCAACACAAAAATACAATTTGATGTTAACCTTTTTTACCAATTTTGACTACTTGAATGAGTTGAAATTTTGTTTTTTTTGTTTTTGTTTTTGTGTTTGTTTTTTTGTATTTTGTATTTTGTTTTGTTTTGTTTTGTTTTGTTTTTTTTTTTTTGTACTAGGAAATGAAAAATCAAGGAATCAAGGAGGATCGCCTTCAACTCCTACGAGATGTTAGTGGTGCTTTCAGACCAGGAATATTGACAGCGCTTGTAGGTGTTAGTGGTGCTGGAAAGACCACCTTGATGGATGTGTTAGCTGGAAGGAAGACCGGCGGATACATTGAAGGAACTATTAGCATTTCGGGTTACCCAAAGAACCAATCAACATTTGCTCGTGTTAGCGGTTACTGTGAACAGAATGACATTCATTCACCATATGTCACTGTTTATGAATCTCTTTTATACTCAGCTTGGCTTCGTCTTTCTTCAGATGTAAACAAAAAAACATGCAAGGTATGTCACTTAGTAAACGTCCCTAGAATCTTATGAAGTTTAAAATTTAATTTTTAAAAATTTATTTTACTTTTTTTTTCTTCCCTTCTTTTTGTTACTTAGATGTTTGTTGAAGAAGTGACAGACTTGGTTGAGCTTAATGCGATAAGAAATTCTTTAGTTGGCCTTCCAGGAATTAATGGCCTTTCAACGGAACAAAGAAAAAGGTTGACAATAGCTGTAGAATTGGTTGCTAACCCATCTATCATTTTCATGGATGAACCAACATCTGGCCTTGATGCTAGAGCTGCAGCCATTGTTATGCGAACTGTGAGAAATACAGTAGACACAGGTAGAACTGTGGTGTGCACAATTCACCAACCAAGCATAGACATTTTTGAATCTTTTGATGAGGTGTGACTCAATTTTTCTAAATCGTGTTCTTGAAGTTTGTTTGTTTTGTGATTTTTCATCATATTATGCATAGACTAATTATTGAGCTTGTTATAGTTACTTTTGATGAAAAGAGGAGGTCAAGTCATTTATGCAGGACCTCTAGGTCGCAACTCTCACAAGCTTGTAGAATATTTTGAAGTGAGTATATTTGTTTTGTGTGTTTTTTTATTCATTTTTGTATGAAAGCAATTTTTAAAAATTGAAAAACAACTTTTTGATGTTACTTAAATAGTGAGATTGTTTTCAAAAGAAAATTTTGAAAACTATTCACCAAACAATGGTGTTTTCTGTGTTTTTTTTTTTTTGGGGGGGGGTAGCTGGAAGAAATGCACAGCATTTGATGATGTCTTCAGTAAAGGCTATCCCCGGTGTCCCCAAGATTAAAGATGGTTACAATCCTGCAACATGGATGTTAGAGATTAGTGCTCCTTCAGTTGAGGCTCAAATGGATGTGGATTTTGCTGATATTTATGCCGATTCCTCTCTTCATCAGTAAGCAAATTAGTTATTTGTTTTAATTGTACCATCCATATACTGAATACTTTGTTACAAAACTGTTCTTAATATCTATAAAAAAAAAACTCTTTTAGGAGAAATCAAGAGCTTATTGAAGAACTCAGTACTCCACCTCCAGGTTCCAAGGACCTATACTTCCCGACCAAGTACTCCCAACCATTCATTACTCAATGCTCAGCTTGTTTCTGGAAACAACACTGGTCTTATTGGAGGAACCCCCAGTATAATGCCATTAGATTCTTCATGACAATTGTCGTTGGGTGTGTATTCGGTTTTACTTTCTGGAACAAAGGACAACATACGTAAGTCTTTAATTTTTTCATTTTTTTGTTTGAATTTTCTCTGTTTCACAAAAATGTAGCCTATGCCCCAAATTTATAGGACCTGAAAGGAGGTGTGTTTTGTAAGACCCCACAAAAAAATAGATGAATGTGAATACTGGCATTCTAGATTATAAGTTGCAATTGGGAGACTAATAGAGTAGCATACCATTCATTCGAGTTTTGGTATTTTATCAAAATAAAATTTGAAATATCCAACACTTCATAGCTTGCATTATTAAATGTATTTTTATTTTGTTGTTTGATGAAAATTGGATATTTTTGTAACTAATATTGACAAAAAAATTTTGCTGACAGAATTAAACAACAAGATCTATTGAATCTTTTGGGAGCTATGTATGCTGCTGTTGTCTTCCTGGGAGCCACTAATGCCAATACAGTGCAATCTATTGTTGCTATTGAGAGAACAGTGTTTTATCGTGAAAGAGCAGCTGGGATGTATTCAGAATTGCCTTATGCATTTGCTCAGGTAACAACAACAAGAAAATTTTTCTTAGTATTTTCGAGAGAGAAAATGCAAATATTTTCTTAATATAGTGATAATAAGCTTACTGTTTCAACTAAAGCAATGTCCTAAATTTTCTGATATTTTTAAATTCTGCAGGTGGCTATAGAGACATTATATGTTATAATTCAAACAATGATATACAGCCTTCTTTTGTACTCCATGATCGGGTTTGAGTGGAAGGTTGGCAAAGTCTTGTGGTTCTACTACTTCATATTGATGTGTTTCGTCTACTTCACATTGTACGGCATGATGGTTGTTGCATTGACACCGGGCCACCAAATTGCTGCCATTGTGATGTCCTTCTTCATGAGCTTCTGGAACTTATTCTCCGGTTTCCTTATTCCCAGGCCAGTAAGTCAATTTTTTGCCTGCTTCAGGCTCTAATTCTGAGGAAAATAATACAGCACAAATTTTTTATATAGGATCAACACTGCATATTGTGCACTTTTTCTATGAAATATTTTGTGTTTATAGTATTACTACAGTTTCTAACCACAAAATTGTTCTTTTGCTTTATAAATTGACATATTTCAATTATTGCAGCAAATCCCAGTCTGGTGGAGGTGGTACTACTGGGCTTCTCCAGTCTCTTGGACACTATACGGACTTGTGACCTCTCAAGTGGGTGACAAAAATGCTTCCCTTGAGATACCGGGAGAGGGTTATGTGCTTCTAAAGAAATTTCTTGAAGATTACTTTGGTTTTAAGTATAGCTTCCTACCAGTAGTTGCAATGGTCCATTTTGGTTGGGTCATCTGCTTCTTCTTCGTCTTTGCCTACGGCATCAAGTTCCTTAACTTCCAAAGAAGATAACAAGCTTTGGTTCCAAAAAATGGTGCTTTTCTAAATTATGTACGAAACTCGAAATTAGATTATGTAATTACTCAGGAGTGAGAAAATGAAATATGTAGTCATTACTCAACTATTTTTTGTTGTTGTTGTCATTTTTCCATCTTTTTTTTGTTTGCTCAATGTTGTGTTATTATATATATATTTTTTTTGTGACTTGGATTGCTTTTGTACTGCATCAAAATAGATGTTATACAAAATGTTTGGATGTAAACAAAATAAAACATTATAGTAATTTGTTTATTTATTTATCTATTTGTATGCTTTAGTATTGTCACAACCCAATCCAGGAAAGCAAGCCCCGTCAAGAGGGAAAACCTTAAGCACTATAACACCTCATGTACAATCTCTCCATTTACATCACCAATAGTACATAAAATCTTTCAATCAGCCATTATATACTAATTGATCCATTCAAGTACAAAAACATCATCCATCCACACCAAGTTAGTTCCCAAGCACCATTTCCCAAAAACACTAACATGAATTCATCTTTATAACAAATTTCATAATAAAAAATATTTACAATTTACTGCCTTCATAAATATAAAAGATAGAATTACATCCTAGAGTGACCCTATGCAAAACCTCAACTACAAAACGCCTATCTTTGATCCTCTATAAAAAAAAATTTATTTAAAAAGAATGAGTTAGAGCCCAATGAGTATACCAATCTCATGGAGTTATTAAACTTGTTCCTTCCAGTCGGGGTCCAAAAATAAGGATAATAAATACAAGAATTTGATTGGAATGAAATTAATACATATATATAGTGAAAATCTGCATAAACCATTATCAAGATTTTTCAAAGAATATCATAATGCAGTAAAATACATTTGAAACAAGGAGATTCAAAGCAAAAATACAACTTTTCAATGCATTAAAATCTCGTATCCATCATACAATCTACTGTCTCTGGGTCGTGTTACCTCGTGACTTAGATGGTGACGACACCGTTACTCAAAATATATCCATAAGAACATATCTCATGTCATCATAACACTTCAATTCTCATTTCAATATTTCGGTCCACAAGACACCTTATGTACAACGACCTTTATAGTCCTTAAAATATTTCGATCCCCAAAACCCCAAAGCATTTTGGTTCTTGTGGCCCCATAAGTTATATTTGGTCGTATGATCAATGAAAATAAATACTTTCACATAACGTGACGTTGTCATCCCAATATCATCATTATAAAATTTGAAAAACTCAACTTGAATACATTCTCTTGAAAAACTAGTTGCCTCTTTATACACATAAAAATAATTTATTTAAACTTTAAATTTTGACCCCAAATTAATTTATAGGTTTTCAATATGTACTAATAACATGATAAAACATGCAATTTAGTTCATTCATTTCCTCTAATTGACAATATTCTCAAGTCTTGTTTTTCAAACAGAGGTAATGTGAATTTCTATGGTAAAGTATACTCGCCTTCAAAATAGCAAAAAGTGTTGATCACAACTTTGCGAACTAACTTTCACGAGGAGTAGGGAGGTCTTCCTCCAATCCTAAAAATTTGTAAATGAGACTAAAATTAGGGAAATGCTTTCAAGAAAATGCAACATCTATAAAGTTGAACCTAAACATGACATGCAATGGAATGAGCACTAAAGATAAGCTAAAGAACTCCTCCAAACTCCTTAAGTCACCCAAGCAATAATTTATCCAAATTTCACAACACCCAACCTTAAAATATTTTAAGTTATCAATTATTTTAATATCCAATCAATTTATATGCACGATGCCACCACCAATTAAACCACAAAGGTCAAAAATCAACATTTTCATAAACCCAACAACTGGTAAAACCATTTCAATAATATATAAAAGTCATCTAAAATCATTTATAGTTCATAGAGATACCCAATCCACCATTTATCATATCAATTTCAACATATAAATTTCTTAGCACCAAATCCCTGATTTTCACATCACATTCAAACCCTAGAATAACCCAAATCTCAATCTCCAAATCAATAATCAAATTAATAATTTTTCTACATGCATAAATATCCATTGAAACTAAATCCAAGTATAAAACTCAATAACTAAAACTAAATCATAATAAATCTAGGAATCACCATCTCTAACTCTAAAAATGTAAAACATTAAACTAAAACCTTTTAGAGAGATATTCTTAACAATTAAAACCCTCTAATCCTTGAAGAAAAGGAACCCCAAGCTTTGATTCTTGAAGAGATTAAAAAAATAAAAATAAATCTAGAGTTGAAACTGTTTTGTGCTATTTTCGTAGAGAGAAAAAAAGTGGCCAACCAAAGCTTTTTTCGGCTAGGTAAGATGGCCGGCGGTGGCGATGATGGTAGCAATGGTGGAGTGTTTAGCCATCAAGAAAGTAAAGGAAAATGAGAGAGAAAAGAAAATGAAAAAAAAAAAAAAAATGTCCATTTCTTATTTTTGTTTTGAGCTGAAGGGTGGTGTTTGGGAACACCCACAAGCAAGTTTGGAGTTGGGTTTTATATATTTTAGATTGGGTTTAACTTAGGAGGTGTTTGGCTTCACATATTGTTGGGTTATTATTCAATCGCTCTTCTGCCAATCAATGGTCAGACAATTTAGGAAAAGTGGTGGTTAGAAAATATAAATGAATAAGTTGAAACTTGAAAAAAGTTATGTTTCTTTGCCATTGCATTTTTCAATCCTGATGAATTAGCACCCATCCATTTGATCTTAGCCCACTAATGTCTTTTCCAGAATCAAGTAACAACCTTCATTATTTTTCTTGGAATGTTTTCTACTTTTGTTTTCTTTTGGGTGGTCTATTAGCACTCTATTTTTCAAGAAAAACACTTCAAATTTTATCCATATTATTGAATCACTTCTGCATAAATATCAAAATTATTTCTTGTAAAAAGAAAATAAGTAGCCTTTGTTGGCCATTGAATTAGAAAAGTTGAGAAAATATCCCTTTAGTTGAACTTTTTTTATCAGCTCACCTTCTTCTCTTTCTCTCTCTTAATTAGGATGACTACAATACTTCAAATGATGGAACAAAAAAAAGCAGAAGTGGAGCCACCCATCCTTTTATAGAGGTGAAGGGATGATCAAATAAACTCTATCAAAAGAATCCCTATCCATCAACATTTTCTTCTTATCTTATAAGAGTAATTATCCCAAATTTAAAATTTGAATTTATGAACTTTATCTCAATATTGGCTTTATCTAATTATGGAGTCCAAATATAAGAAAACATGTAAAAGATATGTAGGCTAGTAGGCCACACCAAAATGGAAAACTAACATTCTCCCACTTGGCTTATTTAAGGCAATTATGATGCAGCCATGGTTTTCAAAAATAAATTTTTTTGACTCAGTTGGATTTCACACTAAAAACTTTGACATGTGATTACGATTTTTTTAAAAAGTCAATAAGTTCAAACTTATTAGAAACTATAATATTGCGATTACGTCAAATTACCAATATGAGTCATGGCAGTTATATGACACCAATGCTAAGCACTATACCATTGATAACCTTCACTAACATAACTTGATGTTGATTTTCTACTATCAAGGTAACCAACAAAATCTAAGTCTAAGTATCCAGTCACTTGCTGTTGTTTTGATCTCTTATAAGTGAGCATATGATCCTTTGTTCCATGAAGATACCTCATAACCTTCTTCACTGCTTTCCAATGTTCCACTCCAGAATTAGTTCGGAATCTTTCTAACTGCAAAACTAATATCTGGTTTGGTACAGGTCTGGGTATACATCAAACTCCCTATCGTTGATGCATGTGGAATGTCCTTCAATTCTTAAGGAATTGTAGCCAATAGGACATAAACTTTTATTTATGTAGTTTTAAGTTGTGCAATCACATGCTATAGATTCAATTCATAGGGAATATGAATGTATAACTGCATGTGATCCTCTTTTGTAAATCTCATATATAACTCGTGAATGAAATATGGAGATTTAGTGTTGATGTTGATTAATGAATTATCATTAACATCTATTGCTTCTGCATGTTAGTTATAGTAATAATGAGAATTGGACTATGACTATGAGTTAATTTAGATGAATCGAGTTCTATTATTTTATGGTTGTTACAGTTGAAACCCACTTTTGTTTTAATAAGGCAAGCCCTTGAAATGTGTAAGCTTATAGGGCATATATTTGGATGTTATTTATCTTTGGAATCATCTAATTACATGCTATAGATTCAAGCTTGTAACGTTATGAATTTATCAATGCATGTAACTATATCATGGAAATATAGATTTGAAATACAAGAATTGAGACAACTTATTATTGTTGATGGATGAATGTTGAGATTATCTATCGCTTCTACTTATTCTTTATATCGTCATTGGAATTATTTAATGAATGTAAATTTTATCTGTTGAGTCAGGTTCAGTATTTTGGGGGCGTTACACATAACTTGTTCTTGAAGGGATTAAAGCGACACATTCTTGTTTTCATCATCGAGAGCTTTTGGAGAACGCTCATTTTAGGGTCGGTCAAAATAAGGTGTCTACAAATGGCGTTCATTATCTTCTCTATTTATTTGTCACTCTCCATGGGTGGCAAAACACCATACCTAGGGTTTCATGAAACCCTAGCCAAGTAATTATATTTTCATTGTTAGAGTTTTTATTGTAATTTTTTATTAGAATCATTTGTAAAACTTTTCAGTTTTTGAATAAACTTGTTTCTATCTTTTCTTTTCATTCATTGTTTGTGATTGCGAATAAATGTTTTACTCTAGTTTTCATTGTTGTTGTGTTTGGAACTTGAGATAGGCTCTTACTAGACGAATTATGCCACGAACCCTAGTTTAGAGTGAACAATTTGTGCTAGTTAAGATGGGTAATACTTGTGCTTCGAATACAACTTTACTTGTTTTTCCCAATTTCTAATTTGTAGTTGAGAAATTGGCTTGTTCCAATCAATCATTTGTTTAATCTAAGATGAGAATTTTGGGTACGAAACTAGTGGTGGATTCGGATCCCTAAGTTACCATTTCCAATTATTTAATTCTCTTTCGCTTGCTTATTTAATTAGGGTTTTATTATTTGTCACCACAAGCAATCAAACAATCCATCAACAATCTAATTTGAGAATTAGTGGTTGAAATAGTTATAATTACACAATTGTCGTTGCGGATATGATGTCCATACTCAACCGCTTCACAAATTT